CTACCTATTTTGGTAAATAAAATGCATATTTTTCAATTTTTAATTGCATACGAATCCTAGACCTGGTCATAAATACTATGTAACAATGTAACTAATTAATAATATATTGTTTAGTTTGTATATCAATTTATCAAAAACAGCATAAACGCACCAACAACCATATGATGTCTGTGATATAATAATATGATATACAGTGTATTATACACTTATCTATCCGATACTTAATATTGGTTGTTATAATGTTATCGTAAATCGCAATGTCTCAATAATATTGTTGTAACTTCGTTAGGTTAGTTCGTGTACAGTTGTCAGTTTGCTGGGTAAAACCGTAAATACAGCATATATAGAGTATTGACGCGAATGACACGATAACAATTAATAATTTTATACCAATTACTTTTTAGTGAAAACTAAATATATATACACATATTTTATATTATTTTATCATTTGGTTAACATGTCACCAGCTAAAGTTTGTAGATAAGCAAAAAAAAATTTTTTCGAATTAAATAATTAATTACTTTCCCTGTTTTTCGGGCCCCTTAAAACGTTAGGGCCCGGGAGGAATCCTACCTTTCCTCCCCCCTATCGACATGCCTGAGTCTGTCCGAATTGCAAGCTTTGAACCACATGTTTATTTCTGATAACATGCACTTATGTGCACAACTAAAACTCTTTTTTATACTTTCCTTATTTAAGATTTAAAATAAAACAATACTTTTCCAGATTTCTAATTTATTATTATTATAATATTGTAACGTCATTTTTCTTTTTAGTTTAGGCCTGAATAATTTTAAACTATTCCCCATTTAAAAATTAACCGCTTTACAAAATGCTATTACTATACAAAAAAGATGTTTCCGGTATTAATATTATTATTATATACTTGCCGTATAGACATATTTTATTATTATGAATTGCCGTCTTTATTATTTTATTATTTATTAATGTTGTACTGTAAAATATTTTTAATTATTATTATTGTAATATTCTATGCCCGAAATTTCAGAAAAAAAACCCAATTAATTTAAAAGTACCTATTATTATTTATTTGAAATACCATATGTAAAATTGTAAGATACATTCACTTGATTACCCTAAACTACAATAGCGTCATTTAATATTTATTATTTACAGCGTCACATTCTACAATGTTTAAATATTTTATGGTAATGTAATAAGTCTGTTCCTTCAGTGGAAAAGTAAGTTATTTAGTTATTTTATTCAAACATATCCGTCTAAGTTCTAAGAGGCGGTATGCAATTTAGACATTCCAATTTATATTTATTTTTTGGCATGCAACTTAGATGCACCGAATGCTGCAAATTTGACGAAGGCTCAAAATTAAACTACTGTTTGTATGGCATATTAGAATAAATGAGTATTTGTTGGTTCAATGGTATGAATATGTTCCTAATGCACCATGGTGTCTTATACTTGATCATAAACTACATTTAATATAGAATGTAGGTAAGGAATAAGGATAGTAATATATTAAATATTAAAATACTTTGTGTATGTATACGAGCTAGAGATAGACTGAATGTCTAATGTAGTAAGAATTTCAACTTCAAACACTCATGAAAATTTAATTTGACTTTCCGGTAGAAATTTATTATTATTTTTTTTTTTTTTTGATAAAGTTAGACAAACTTATAAGAAATCTTGTATGAAATTTTTAAAATTTAGATATAAAAAGAAATTTTTTTATGAATTTTTAACTAAAAAATAAATGCTAATTTTCGTGATTTTTATGAATTTTGTCAAAATTCTATGTTCAAAAGTTCATAAAAAACTATTGTGGATTTATGCTCAATCTTTTTTTTTAATTTCCACTAACAAAAACTTACGAGGAACACCTTGTATTACATTTTCAAGCAAAAAATGTTTTATTGACATCAGTTTAAAAAAACAAATAATAATCGAAAATTGCATGTGTCTATAAATAGTTCAACACAAGTCAAAATATTTTGAAAATTGTATGGTGTCCAGAAAATAGCAACTCAAGTATTCAGTGAAAATTACATTAAAAACCAAAATCGATTTTTTGGAAAACTAGTTTTGCCAAAAAAGATGCTGTTGAAGAAAATCTAAGCACTTTTACTGCCCCCAAACCGTAATGACAGACACAAAAATAAATAAATAAAAAACAGACATCATCGTAAAATCAATATATTTATCGCTCCGCTCAAAATCTAAAACATAAGTAGCCAATTCATCAAATGTTGATAATCTAACATAAAATTATTGATAAAATCTTAGACCTCAAGGATATCGATACCATAAAGAATATTGCTTCTAGTAGCATAATATACCAATCTTAGGTATTTTGTATACTTAGGCTGTACTAATATTTGTATGGTCATGTTACTGTAATATGCGATTATATTTTGGTTTATTTTAACCATATGTATACTACTAAATTACTATCTATTCTATATTAAAATATAATGTTGTGCTTAATTTGTTTTTCAGACTACTTTCAGAAAACTGGATTGATCTTTTGCCAAAAACAGGAATAGAAGTTAACTCATTTGCATTGTCATATATTTTCATCTAAATGATATCCGCTCCTACTTATACTTTAAAACAACGCGTGTATAATTATTAATTATATATTAATAGACATAATATTTCAAGGGCGACAATTGGCAATTTTTATACTCATTTTTTCAGCCCGGGTTTTATGTGTTAAGCAGGATTTCTACTGGTGTACTTGTCAAGTACTTCAATAATCACTCATTTCGAGTGATTTACGTGTACAGTGGTCACCGCTTATTATAATCACTGTTGCCGTTTGTTCGAGCGCGGAGCGATTCGACCATATAATAATATATACTTATACATTTTCTTCGGACATCACGGGGTAACGGAGATAAAAGCGACTTTAGCAAGTCCCCCCCCCCCCAGTGTCCGGCGACAGTTCGTCTGGCGATAGCCAGACCGTTGACCGACAAGGTTTCCGTTTTTGTCTTTTGCCAGCGGTTGGGCCCGACACACGTATCTGTCCGCCCACCGTTTTTTGCGTATTTGCTGTCTCTTTGTGCCACACACCAGAACCTGCCATCATCGACCAGGCTACGGGCATCGTCGGGCAAGTTGCAACGAACCAGGTCGTCATCATTTTGTAAATCATTGTTTATTGTAATTTTATACTATATTGTGTACCGATATTGTTATTTATATATATGTGTGTATTGGTAATTATTCCTGGGCGCCCTATGCCACCAGTTAATTTATTATTATTATTATTTAATTTGATGTTTGTATTGGTCAATATATTCTGTCGATCGGTGTCATAAGCACCTTAGAATTATCTGACGTGATATTATTTTGCATATACTTGGGTAACCCACTCCGCTCCTGTCTACAACACAACACGCGAGTCGTTGCCGACAACCGCCGATCATTGTAGGATCGGTAACGGCGCCAAACACTGTTATCAATCGTTTATAATTGTTATCGAAAAGTGAAAGTACGGACAGGGCCCATATACCCATTTATATGTGTAAATTATGTCGACTTTTTCCATCAATACGCAGGATAATGTTATCAGTTTGAAGTCATAAAAACAACAGTATGTACGAGTATATTTAACACACGATCAAAGTTTTCGTCAAATGGCTCGTAACAAAAAGATAAAAATGTCTACATATTTACATATTACATCAAATTTTACCTAAGAGGTAATTTTACATGTATTATCACAAACAAATGAACCTGGAGAAATTGAAAATTAAGAGATTGAGGTTGAGCCACAAACTAATACTGAAAAACCTCCAAATTATTTTGAAATGAGAGAGGCACTTCGAGTATTACGAAGAGGGACACAACATCATCCATATAATTTTTAACTACATTACAAATACGAACATTTTATCAATGATCTTTTTAAGGTACTAAAAAACAGACATCAATAAAAAAATATTGTTCAAGTCAGTAGAAGTTAATATTCACGTATGTACTTACATTTTATTATTTTTTTTAAACAACATTAAATTTTGTATAGCTATAAATATAGTACATACTTTAAATATAAATAATAAATTAAATGATAGTATTTTTTAATAATTGTGTGTGTATTAAATTTGACGCAACATTAAAGTATTTTAATTTTATTTAACGTATGTTTTATTACTTTTTCAACTTTCATTTAGCGTTATCATTCGGATTATGTAATCAGTCATGTCCTGTACCAAAGTGATTACATTAAGCGGTGACCACAGTATCGAGTTCCGACGACTGGTGTATTTGTCAAAAAGGCCAATACTCGAGCACGTCTTGTGTATGTAGAAAAGTAAACTACCCAAGTAAATGGCTATACTAATAAATATACTAATGTACTTGACAAAAAATGAGTTGAACACTTGCAAATATGTTTTCAACAAGAACAGAAATTTATTACACAATCATATAATTAATAAATGATTATATTTTTTTCCCCTAATCCGAACAATAATTATTACGTTAGTCTCCAAATAAATATATAGATATATGTGCGGAATATAATGAAATACTATAAATAAGTACAATCCTTATGTAGCTTAACATTAAATACTGAATTCTCTTTGAATTAAATACATTGTAATTATTACATTTAATAATATTAACTAACAAAAATAGAATAGTATTCGTCCGTTTTCAAATAAATGTCAAAATTACACTTTGATATAAATAAAATTCCAATATGAATATAATTTCAACTTAAAATTAATATTTGAAATATTTATAATTCAGCAACTTAATGCATAATTCAAAGAGTTCTAAAAATGATTATTTACTGTAATTGATTATTAAATAAAAAACATGATAAAACTTATAATTTTAAAAACAAATAACATTGTAAAAAAACGTATTTATTATCTGAACGATGATACCAATATCATTTCCAGATTTAAACGTGTACAATTTTTTTTGAGAGTTAATTTATAAAGAAAAATTTTTATTCAAAATTATGGTAGAAATATTTATAATATATTTCAACTTGATAAATGTACGTATTATAACACAAAATAATAAACTTGTGACTTTAATTCAAATCATTTAATCATATTATGATTTATCACTTAAAATTAGTTTCTTTTCTATACGACACATACATTTTTTTCCATCTATATTCTATAATAATCATAGAAATTAGAAAAAAAACCTTTACCTTGAGAACATTTCTTTTCTTCTTCCCGTTTCAAAAATACATATTCTTGCATCACTTTAGCATCGGTGTTTAGGCATAAAACCAGGCGCAGTTCCATTTCTCTGATGTAAGACATCTGTTGATCTGAAATTTAAAATAAATTTGTTAACATTATGAATCATAATTTATGATCATTCATTAAAAATTATTCAGTTATACTTACGTATGTTGAACATGTGACTTCTGTCATAAAAATAACTATCTGCAATTCTAGTTCTTGCAAACTGTTCTCTGATGATACACCTCATCGTAGGACCAACCATTGCGTCTTCAGCGTGTTTTTCCAACAATACACCAACCAACAAATCTATATCGTTCCAAGTTTTGTACAGTTTCAATAATCTATCAGCTGACTATTAAAACATTCAAACGGAAAGTAATCAGTGCAGTAAGTAGATCATTATTTTAAATTTAAATTTTGTTTTCAAACTTACGCCTTCCCCCATTATCTCGGATAAATCTTGTTCATTTTCTATATCTTTTAGTCCACAATATTTTCTAAATTGTGTGTAGCTCGGAATACCATGGTCACGGCTTCGTTGTATATCCAAGCTGAGCATGTCCATTCCAAACGAGTTATTTGTACCAATACTGTATAAATGATTTGTAATCTGTAACAAATATTAAAAAAAAAAAAGAATAGAACATATACGTAATATCGTCTGCAATATTGATGCTGTAAAAAAGTTAAGTTTATAACATATATTGAGTGAATTTCATAAACACACCGTTTGTGTAAACAGCATATCGACGTTTTGTGCATTCTCCGAAGCTAGTCCTTTTATAATGTTATTTATGTTATCCTTTATATCAACAGGTTTGTTGTAGTATTCCTTAAGTGTCAGTTGGTCGTAGTATTCTTTATGCGTCGAATTGCCGTGATCCCATTCCGCTTCTTTTTCTTCGAGTCTGAATGTGTTTTCCTGATTTAACCTAAACAAAAAATTTAAAAAAAATAAACAAAAATTATAACTAGCATCTAACCTTATAAAATACAGATTTATTATTTTACTCTTTTCGGACGACAATATTCTTATATATTATACTAGCTGAATTACCCGGCGTTGCCCGGGAAAAACTTCTTTTAGGTGTAAAACGCTGTGAAAGCAATGTCTTTTTAAGTGTAAATTATATAATATTTTTAAGTGTAGCCACATCAGTCTAGGTTGTTTGGACACCCCTTTCCATGAAGCCATCCAATTTTTGTAAATTAATAACCATATTACTTATTGTGTAGTATAATAGCCGGGTTACCCGGCTTAGCCCGAGAGGTATTCAACTATTTTATATAAAAAAAATGAGGATGAAAAAACAACTATTTTCTTATATTGTACCTTTTTTATTTATTAATTTATTTCCTATAAAGCTTTGTTTTGCTATGTCTATCAATAAGGCACAGGGACAGACACTGAAGGTTGCAAGCCATGACATCACGAATCCCCGTTTTACCCACGGACAATTTTATGTTGCTTGCTCCCGTATCAGCTCGGCAAAAAATCTATATATGTATGCGCCTCACCAAAGTACAAAAATATTGTTTACAAAGAAGTATTATTACTTTAATAGAAATATGTACAGAGTTAATATGTAAATTAATAAATAAAAAAAGTACAATATAAGAAAATAGTAGTTTTTTCATCCTCATTTTTTTATATAAAATAGTTGAATACCTCCCGGGCTAAGCCGGGTAAACCAGCTATTATACTATACAATAAGTAATATGGTTATTAATTTACAAAAATTGGACGGCTTCATGGAAGGGGGTGTCCAAACAACACTACTTCAATTCTAGACTGATGTGGCTACACTTAAAAATATTATATAATTTACACTTAAAAAGACATAGCTTTCACAGCGTTTTACACCTAAAAGGAGTTTTTCCCGGGCAATGCCGGGTAATTCAGCTAATATACTATATATATAGTAAATAATATATATTTTATACTATGTGCTCCAATAGCTATTATATACATCCATGGTATCGTTAATTGGTTTGTTTCCTATTATAAATTACTCTATGTAATTATTCATTATTCTTTAGTTTGTAATATTTATTTTATCATATTTATTTATTTATTCGTATGGTCATATTAATATTTAATATATTAACAATACAAATTGATTTTTATTTGTAAAAAATGCCACGACCAAGGCGACAGAATGTAGGCCGTAATTATATCACCCAACAGTATATATTGGAGTACATCCATGGCATAACTGGTCATCGTTCATTGATTACCTATTGTTTTCTATTAAAATGAATTCTATGCACTCGGCGGACGAAGTGAACGCATACCGCGAAACATTAAGAGACCATAACTCCGGAAAAACTTATCGCACGGCGTACAAACTTCACAAAAACCATTAACATATTAATCTTAATATGCCCTGAAATTTTTATTGAAATCGGTTTGGTATATCTTGAGTTATATAATTTATTCAAAATGTACACTAATTTTTATATATATATAGATAAGTGTTATTTTTAATTGATTCCTGCAGGTACAATATTGGTATGCATATTTTGATCTATTGTCAAAATGAAATAAAGAGTATTGAAGTAAAATACTCAATTTGTATATATTTTGTAACCTACCTAAAAATACTTAACTAAATATTTAAATGTAAATACCTGAAATTCTAAGATTATTCGTTCAATATGATACTAGCTTGTATAGGTACATTAATTTTCCCCCGAAAAAAATAATTAAAAACGTAAAAGTTACCGTTTGAATATATGTAACTAGTAAATTGGGGTGAAATAAAGTGAAAATATTATATTACGTACACGTTGACCTTATATATTTTCCAAAGAAATGATTGTAACGACCGACTGTTGTTCATGGTTATTTTAAAAAGTGTGACCACGACATTACCATTCTGCATATACCTGATAATTATTATGATAGTAATTTTATAAAATATGCGGTATGTCCCAACCTTATAATATTGCTAATCATAGAATAGGCGACCGGTAGTATGGTGGTCGCAAACACGTTGCTGACTGACGGATCTTCATTCTCGTCGTAATGGGTAGCTGGCATATAAGATGAACGTTGTTGAATAAACAAACCGTTCGTATGGACATAATGCACGCCAAGTAGTGCCGGCAGAAATTCCACGTACGTGATGTACTGTATGCTGGCAACCACGATACGCTTGGCCTCGAGAAAAATTTTTTCATCAGTCCAGTCTCTCTTAGCTTCAGCTATATTAATCGCTATTCGGTTGTGATGCCTAACCCACAGTGTGTACAAGCCCATCAGTTGTGGAAACGCGTTTACTCGGATGTCGCCCGACTTAAAGCACGTACCGATGCCGTTCTGACACGCGTAAGTATCGGTGGTTTCCGGTGGCATAAACGATTGTTCAAATACCGGCCCGATAGACATTACTTTCATCCTGCCGAACGACATCTCCCTCAACGACAACTCTTGTTCTTTCGTCGAACCGTATATCATCGACCCGTCTAAATAATGGGTAGCTTGGTTCATCTATAAAACACAAATACGTCTTATTAAGGGGCAACGAATTTTTAAATATTCTGTTAGTTTCTGTAGTTTTTGTGTACTTGCAACAAACTGGCTTTTTTATGTCTGTTCTTATTGGTATTATAATACAAATATAATGTTATTTTATCAATATGTAATTATTTAATATTGCTGTTACTTGTTCCATTGGTCCAAATGTACAATCAGAACGCACCGCTGGCCGCGAACGCACGTAGTTCATGCAATCATTTGGTTCCGGTTTAAAAAACTTGTCATCATCCGGTATCGGTATTGGCTTGCAAGACCTCATGTTTTTGTTCAGAGTATATTGAATATTTTTGTCTTTATCACAACAATTCACAAATCTGTTGTCTTTCCCTTTGAGTATAACAAACATACTTGCATTAAAATTAAAATCAATCAATTCATACACGGTTATATGTTTAATTTGTTTACCCATGGTGGAAACTGCTGTGTGTGATAGATCGTGGGCTATGAAAATCATCCAGAAGGCCACCATCATCGTTTTTCCTTGATCTATCGAAATTTCGTCTTTTACAAGATTTAAGCTCAGTGATCTAGGGTTGGGAAGCTTTTCTTCGCTTGGCATTTCGTAAATACCTGTGTCATTAATTAATGAAATAATAGCATTAGATAAACATGAACGTAAATATTATAATACGTAATTTGTATTTAGTAGAAGTTACGTACTAGCTGAAAAAGTGCTATGATAAGTCTTTAAGTTTTTAATTCATATAAATTATGCGCGATTTGCATCATGCAAAATTAAGAAATATTACCATCCTTGTAGACTGGAAACAGCAAACGTTTATAAGGCGTGTTTGCCTTTCCCCAATTTTTATGTTTCGAATTGCTACAAGATCCGTCATTATTACGATAGTGAGGTACTTCGCACGGAATTTTATCGTAATACTCGGACATACACATCTCACCCAAAGTTGTCCCAGTCAGATTCACCTTCGTTAAATCTTTGGCACACTGTATATCACTTAACCCGTGCCTGAAATTATAGATTAATTTATGCATATTATTACCATGCAAAATTTATATATATTTTTTTTCATTGAGATATTTAATTAATGCGTACATACTTTAGACAATATGTATTCTTCAGGCTGCGTGTAGCTTCAATTATAATTTCAGCAAATCGAGATGCTGAATTTCCGCCTTTGGAAGGCATAGAATCAATTAGCTGTCCATGAACAGGGCTTCCAATTGTTATTTGACTAATATTTGATAATATTGTATCTTCCAAACGATATCTGTTTTCAATTATTTCGGTAGCTTTTTGAATTTCTTCGTTTATATCGGAAGTATTGAGTTTTAGGTACCAATTAGTTGAGTTTATCGCCAAACCTATGCAATGTACACATCATTTATTCGTTGTTATCGACTTGTTTTAAAAATATCAATACAAAAGATTAAGCTATTAGGTATGTTTTATTTATTATGTCATACCTTGTTCATACAAATCAATAATATGTTCATCTTTAGATCCTCTGCAATATGGTAGTACGAATATCACCGAACAAATCAACAACCGCACTATCATAATCGTAGTACTCATTCTGATAATTTTCATAAACTGTAATCATATTAAAAATATATAAATATTATAAGCTATAGATAACGATAACGGTATTTATTTAACTATGATTAGAAATGTAATATTTATTACATTAAAATACATTTATAGCTTACTTCTTAAAAATGTATCACCAAATTATCAGCTCTTATATACCACGTTAAAAATTAAGTATCATTAAATTATGTTCATACTCCTCCCATTAGTCTATATATAATAAATCTCGACTGGTTTTAAATGCAAAATTAATGATAAGACATATAGAAATATAATATATTTATTTTTAATGTAATGTCACGATTTTTAGGTGCCATGCAGTGAATGCTCGTGTGTGCGCACTTTGCATGTATTTAATAGGTGTGGCTACATACAAAGATACATTTTTATTCCGTTTTCCACTATTTATCAACCATTACATAACGAACACAAATTTGAATAACTTTTAACGGAAAAGTAATAAACTGAAGCAGTTTAAAGTTATCTATGTGTTCAGTTTTTAAAGCCGACGGGAAACAAGTGTCGCTATAAATCTACTTATTTTAGTTATTTGTTTGTAAATAAACATTTGGTACTTACTCACCATTAACTTGTTTTATTTTGAATAGTAAAATCAACAGTTCTCTATCCTTTGACAACGATTGAACTTGTATTGATTGTGATGAATGAAATTCCTTATTTAATGATTGAGGTTATTTAACCGCTCACGTTCGTCGACGCGTTATTAATGCATGACGAAGAGACGCGCTCAGTGTACCTGCTCATAACTCGAAGTACCTATTACTACTGGACATTTGTGTGTTGGCAGTGGTGTCGCGTGATATCGGGGTGATGTATATATGAGTACAGTTAGTATCACTGATACTGGAGCTTCGGAAAAATAATATTCCTATTGGTGGAATTACACTCCTACCACCCAGCACTCCCACCTAAACTACATCATGAGAGCTCTTCCACCCACCCGGGCAACTAGCCAAACAAACACACATACAAATGCATAATGTGACGGTTCATCTTACATTATTTATTATTATGTATTTTTAATTTTTACTGAAAATGTATCGTTATCGCTCTATCATTTTATGTCGCATGTTATTGTTATGCACAGTGGCGTGTATCATAAAAAAAATAGGTGTTGCTCTAATAATTGTTGGTGACCTACTCCTCATTATACTGTTATACCGACTTATAAAATGCCCTATTTTTCTTTTATCAATACCCACCCACCCATATTTAAGGTGTTGCCTCAGCAACACTTGGACCCTATGTTACACGCCACTGGTTATGCACTAGATTGGCGTGATGATACGTATATTTATTAAAGCAGCTGGCTAGCTACACTTTTTCACAATAGACGCAAAACCAATTTTAGATATACTTACATGTAAATAAAATAGATAAACAGAATGAATATAAACGCCTGTGTTATTCAATTAAAATACATTTGTAGGATATAGAGTACCTAGTGATCAACAATATAAATTGTTTTGAGTTTACCGTCTTCCTACTGTAGTATATTGTTGACAGTCGTCAGCGTAATTTTAGCATAATCTTTAGCAATTAAGATATTAGAATAGGTCAAGCCTGGGAAGCTAAGTGTGCTGAGGTGACAAAATTACTTAGATATAAGACGGCCGCACGGGCAGGAATGAAGAGTTCCCGTCGTCGCCGGGTGTGTTGTCGAGAGCGTGCCATCGACGTGCACACGGAAGAGTTTTCGACCCGTAAAATTATTTGTTTAATTTTTGAGTAGTCATACAATTTACCGTATTCCTTTCTATCCAATCTATATCACTCAAAAAGTGCATATACGACAGTGGCGCCCAACGTGGGGCTCGAACCCACGACCCCGAGATTAAGAGTCTCGTGCTCTGCCGACTGTCAACAATATACTACACTACTACATATAAATCCTACCCAATATTAAAGCACAATATTTATAACCTAGTAACATTTTTGGATATTGTCAATGTGTTCTAAGAAAATTGAATAATATTATAATCAGCTGTGGTGATGCAGAAATGTCTTGAAAAAGTCTTGAATAAAAGCATAAATAAAGGTATTAGGTATAGTAGTATTATATGATTATAACAAGGACTTCAAAATGTTTTTATAAAGTTGCAAGTAAAACGTTGAACGATTCGAAAAACTATTGAATCAATAACGGATAACATATCGGTAAACGATAAACGATTGAAATCGAATAGCGGATAACGAAACAGAAACGATAAACGATTATAACTAATATCGAATAACATAACGGAAAACAATTTATCAATGACTGAAATAAAACATTGCCAGAAAAAAAATATATTTATAAAATTATAACTATCGGTGAATTATTTAATACCTATAGTTATTTTTGTAAAACTGTGACTAAATATTGGGTACCAAGGCTTTACACCGAATTACAAAACTTAAAAACACGTATGGTCTGCCACATCAAAAATACCTTCGGCCAACACCAACGATACATCGGTAATACTTCACATATTATGTGGTCAATATTGACAAAAAAATATATATTTTACGTGATGGTATATGAAATGTGCATTATATTACAGTCAAAACTCTTTATAACGAATCTGAAGGGACCAAGAGATTTCTTTCGTTATAGAGAGTTTTCGTAATAGAGAGGGTTTAAAAAAAAACAAAATTTTAATTATTTATGTATAAAGGTATGTACCTGTGTAATATTATATATCAAACACATCATTATTTTTACAAATAATGAAAGAATGTAATCGTTCTTGGAAATGTCGGCATTATTGCCGATTATTTTTATAGTTTATATATGTAATAGATACGATAACTCGTAAATTGTATTATGAAAAATAAAATATTGTTTCGTTATTGATAGTGACTAATACGTTATAGAGAATGAATTGTCTAATGGGTTATATAGCAAACCAACCATTATTATGTAATGTTTACGTTATATAGAGTTTTTCGTTGTAAAGAGTTTCGTTATTAAGAGTTTTCACTGTATATTATTGTTGTTCTATTAATGTCTGGATCACAAATTCACTTTTGAATTATGACTTATGAGAATTACCAGGAGATTATAAATTCGAGTGAGAAGTAAAAATAACTGAACCTTACAGGATTATGGTTATAATATTATTAAAACAAGTTAGACAAATAAGTATCAATAATAATATGGTACCATAGATAATAAAGATCTATATATCTATGTTTAATCATTGATTAAATACATTTAAATATATTTAATCAATAGTATGATACCTACGGGCTACCATATCTACCTCTCTATGTCATCCTGTATTCCTGCATGTGTATAAGATTTTAATATTTTAATGTTTATACATTTCATAATAATATAAAATATATGAAATATTCAAATATAAATATATTCGGCATTTAATATATAATTTCGAAATAACTTGTAACAAAAAATGATTACCCAGCGAGTTATAGCATAAAACGATAACTAAAAAAGTGAGGTACCCACATTTCTACTTAGGTACCAAGTGGATGTCGCTCTGTTCAATGCTGTGAATTAGGTCTCAATTAGGACGCTGTAATGGATGGTATTAAATTTGAATTGTATGATATGATATCATTGTATAGATTCATTCTGAGCGGAGACGGTGTGTAAGTCTAAGGTATTTTATATTGTTATTACTTATTACTTATTATTAATAAGGTAACCGGTAAGTCGAACTAATATTATTCTTAAATTATCAGTGATCCTAGAAAAATATTAAATATATCTATGTAATATTGGGCTGTTTTGGAACCGAATTAAATGATAAATGTTATTCTTTGTGTTAATATGCAATGTTGTCCAAATTTGAACTTAAGATGACTTTAAAAAATAACTGTATTTATATAATTTTTAGAGTTTTTAGTTACGGAAAAAATCGCTTAAGTGTACTACTGTACATGTTTCAAATGTTCGATCCTAAGCTCCATTTACAAGTTTTTTGTCACAGTGAAAAAAATTGTATCGACATTAGTTCAAAAAAAAACAAATAATAATTGAAAATTTCACATGCCTTTAAATATTTCAACATGAGTCAAAATTCAGTGAAAATTGTATGTATTTACGATCGTTTTTTTAGAGTTGCATTAAAAACCAAAATCGATTTTTTCGAAAACTGGTTTTGCGTAAAAATTCAAACTTTTCAATTTTTGTTTGTTTTTTTCGGGCTGATTTTGACAACTATTGGGAACTTTAAATTTTGTCCTCCGGATTGCACCATCTAGATTCACTTTCCTACCAGAAAAGTTGCTTTTGAAGAAAATCGAAGCACTTTTACTGCAGTAAACCTTGATGACAGTCACAAAAAAAATAAAAAACACACATCATTGTCAAATCAATACTTTTATCACTCCGTTCAGAATCTAAAAATTTAGTACAATTTTGTTTTTAAATAACAACAAAATAAGAAAAGCACTTCAAGAGAAATCGAGTGAATATCCAATGTTGTAAAAATTTCAACTTCAAACTTTCATAAAAAATTAATTTGCCTTTCCATCAGTAGACATTTTTATAAGAAATCTTTTTTTAAATTTTTAAATCTTAGCTATAAAAACAACATTTTTTATGTACCTATTTTTAAACCAAAATTGTTTGCTAATTTTCGTGATTTTTACGAATTTTGTCAAAATTCTAAGTTTAAACGCTCGTTAAAAATTATTTTTTAATTTGCATTTATGAAAACTTCTTAACAATTACAAATATATAATGCTAGAATGAAAATGTTGAATTAATATTGAATTCTATATATTGTGTAATTTTGCATAGTATTAACTATCAAACGCTAAAGAGAAAAAACTTCATCAAAAAACTTCAGTTTCAAATGTTACACTAATAATTAAAATAATGTTTTACAGTTTGAAACGTTGAAATTCATTATTCGAATAAAGTTTAAACTTCTTAAAACGTTAAACAGTTATTCGACCATAATGTTTAATATTCATATAACGGTAAGCAATATTATTATTTTTGGTTTAAGTCCAGATTATAACGAGAAAAAATGTACACTAACCTACCTAAGATTAATTTGTATCAAATTGAAAAAAAAAGTTATTATAATAAATATTTTATTTCATGTAACCAATAGCAACAATACAGGTATACATCTATAAACAAAATTGATTTTCGTGAACTGAAAATAAAAACATGTTATAGGGGTTGAATTTTGGTGGAAAAAATAGCCTATAATATGGTACTCACCTTTGTAGGTATATCTATAACGATTATAAATATAAATATAATCAAGATCGGTTCAGCGGACAAAGAGTCGACATAACTATATTTATGTCACGAATTCACAAAGTCACAAACATTCATTTTTATAATCTATGATTATTATTAATATTTTAATTTTGATCTACTCAACCATTAAAATTATGTATAGTATGAAATAAGTAAGTGTAGACTTAAATATAAGTAGTAGATGTGATTAAACGATGTTATAACAAACACTACGCATGTAAAAACAAATGTAAAATAATACTTTTCAGTCATATTTTAACAATATATGTTATTCAATAAAATATAATAACTGTAAGAACTTTAAACATTTCACAACAACTACTTAAATTTATTATGTTCCTGCGTGTCGTATTATACTTATACCATTGATTTAATAAGTAAAATTCGGAAATACAAATTTCGAAATTGTGGTTATAATTACTACAAATTGTGTAACAATAAATTACAGTATTTGCCAGGGACCTGCATCAAGCATTTTATTTTAATGAATATATTTCGATAGTTCTAAAAATCTTCCCAGAGCAAGAGATAGGTAGGTAATCATTGCGTTTTTTTATAGTAAGTAGTATATTAGTTTTATCATTGAGATCATTTCGTCATAACACCGAAAAAAAAAACGTGTCGACTGTTTTTGTCGATAATTATGTGTTTATTAAAAATTGTACAACGGAGGAAGAAATAAAAAGTCCCTATGGTCAGTTTTGGCATTTTCATAGTTGACGATATTAAATATTTTCAATTTTGGATTTGTATTCTTTATTTTTATTTTCATTACTACTGGCTGTGCTATAACATGTTATTATTAAATATGTTTATACAACTATAGATTTGCATGTTACACATTAGTTGATAATAATTGATTTAATTAGAGTCTCAATATATTATAATTTATAAATGACTCACCACTTACAGTAAATGTTGAAAGTACACAAGATACACTGCAAGTATCGAATTTCGAGTTATTACTTATTGCATTTACCGCTAATGACTACGTCTAATTATGAGTAACATATTATATATTATTATCCTAACCAGTGGCATTATAAAAACGTTCGGTTGTGTTTTCATGTTTCTTAAATACTGACTGTGTATTATATATATATATATATATATATATATGAGTGTTTGTGGCCTTGTGGGTATGTATGTATGGTGTATAGAAATTGGAATTTTACCTTTGTTTTCGATCGAGGCGATGACCAGTTTTTTCCTACGCACATTTTGTGTGACAATGAGACAATTTTTATGATCATTTAAAACAAATAATGGCAAATTAATCAGAACTTATGTTGAAACACAAGTGGGTACCTAGTTACATAATTCTTAGTACAATTGGCAAAAAATAACACTTTTTAAGTATTATATAAAACATAGTTCATTAAATTATTTTTATTTAGTTAATATTATTAGGTTATTAGTGACACATAGAAACGTTTTGAGAGCTCATTTATCCAACAAAAGTATTTTGATATGTGAAAAAAATGTTTGCTGTTCTCAATATAAAACTATTTGCTAAGGTTATTGTACAGGTTATTGCAAAACCATGAGGTATAGTTAAAAAAAAGTACTAAAATGATCTGTTATGTAAACAAGAAAATTTGTTAACACAGACTTATTGAAAAAATGTATAAGGGGGTTGAATTATTCTGGAAGAGATATCATATATAATAATATATATCAAGTTATAAAAGAATTTGCTACTATCCCAGTTACAAGTTGTTCATGTGAGAGACATTTTTTGAAGTTGAATTAAATTTGTTTTCTCATACAATATCAAAGTTCAAATACTGATGACAATTAAAATGAATGTTATAATCATATTTATTGTGAATTAAAAAATATATTTATAAAATGTATGAATATAATTATTTATTGAAAATATTAGATGTCAACACGAGACAACGTATAATTAATATTAAATGGATTTATTAAAAAGCAATAAATATGCTATGTTAAAAGATTCTAATAGTTAAGCGATTATTAAATGTTAAAAATATAATTACTAAACATTATAAATTTTTAATTTTTAATTTATCAATGTTTTGTGCAATATTATTATGGGAGTACAACCGCCAGTTCTCCCCAACGAATCAAAAAGATTTTCGGAATAATTCCGTCCTCACAACGTTGTAATTCATCAGTTGAAGTCGGTTTCAAAAATGCTTGTTTCTGGAGCATTTTTACATCATTGAAGTTTTCACAAATAACTCTAGCAAGGGTCATTTTTCTGATTTCTTCCAGTTGAACTTAAATTTAAAAAAAAGGTTAGTTTAAATTATGATCATTTATTGAAAATTATTTAGTTATACTTACGTTCGGTGAATACTCCTGGTAAGTCATAAAAATATCTATCTGCATTTCTAGTTCTTACAAACTGTTCTTTGATGATACACCTCATCGTGGGGCCGACCATTGCTTCATCGGCGTGTTTCTCAGACAATGCACCAATCAATAAATCTATATCGTTCCAAGTTTTGTATTGTTTCAATAATGTATCAGCTAACTAAATATAACATGGAGAAACAAAGTAATCAGTACAGTAAATATATTATTATATAACATTTAAATTTTGTATTCAAACTTACACCTTCCATCATGATCTCAGATAAATCTTGCTCATTTTCTATATCTTTTAGTCCACAATATTTTCTAAATTGTGTGTAGCTCGGAATACCGTGATCACGGCTTCGTTGTATATCCAAGCTGACAATGTCCATTCCAATCGAATTATTTGGATCAATACTGAATAAATGATTTGTGATCTAAAAAAAAAATTAAGAAATCGGTTTTACAAAATAAAAGTGTTAACATGTATTATAAAATATGACAAATTATCATTGATGATGACAAAAAAGTTTTATTTCGATTGTGAACCCACCGTTTGTGTAAAGAGCATATCGACTTTTTGTGTATTCTGAGTAGTTAGTCCTCTAATAAGTTCATCGATGTACTTAGTCAATAAATCAACAGGTTGATTGTAATATTCTTTTAGTGAAATACTTCCGTTGATCACTCGGTCTTCCGAGTACAAACTAAACAAAAACATGAACAATAATTATAAATGACATTGTATGTGTACATTGTACAAAGATTTATTTTTTTTCAAACGTCAAAATTACTATAATATGTTTATTTATCATCTAAAGTTCCTACGCAGAAAATTGTTACTTACATCGGGATATATATGATATATATGTATATAATTAATATATATATATTATATGTAAGAATAATATTATAGATAACTGAGAATAAATTTAATGAATTTTGACACCTTCTAAATACCAAAACCTATACGTTCACAAAGCTTTTAGAATATACATTATATTTTTATTAAAAAAAAGTAATGTTAAGTTCACCGTTTAAAAATCAAAAACCAATAACGCGGTAACCGGTGTGAAATAATCTGTTTGTAATAAACATAATTGTTGTTTGTTATCATGAGTCTTAGATTTACCATAGACAAATTTTTGAATAACAACGATTGTTCATGGCTTTTATAAAAACTGTCACAACGAACTACCCACATAGAAAATAATGATGATTACAATTGTATTGTATTATTTATCCGGTATTCACTATTCAGTACCTGATATTGTCGCTGAGCATAGAATTGGCGAACGGCAGAATCGCGTTCGCGAAACTGTTGCTGACGGACGGGTCGCTTCTCTCGTTATAAGCGTCGTTGTATCCTTTCTCTAACAGTCCCAGACCGTTATCCTTGGTGTAGTTTACGCCAAGTAGCGCTGGCAGCCACTCGTTGTACGTGATGTGCTGTATGAATCCCGTCACGATTTTCTTGGCCTCCTGGAAAACTTGCTCGTCACTCCAGTGCGGGTTGAAGCGAACTAGTTCTCTGCTTATGCGGTTGTGTTCCCTCATCCACAATGTGTGAAGGACAGTAAGTTGGGGAAGCGCGTTTGCCCGGATATCACCAGCCCTGAAGCAAGTGCCGTTGCCGCGCTGACAAGCGTTGGTTTCATTGGTTTCCAGCGGCATTAACCAGAAATCCTTATCAGTGACATTAATATTTTTCGACAACAGTTCACCACCTTTCATTTTCCGCAACGACAGCGTCTGTTGTTCTGTCGTACCGTATATCATCGACGCGTCTAAATAATGAGTAGCTTGGTTCATCTGCAAAACATACACAAGTCTTAAATAGTGACTATGAATTTTAAAATATTCTGCGATTTTGCAACATCAGTTCGAAATACTGAAATGCTGGAAATATTTGCACAACCTAAAGATCACTGTTTTTGAAATTTGTTTCCCTTTTTAAATAATTATTACAAACAAGACGTGTTAAATCAACCAATGGGACAACATTTACAATTATTTATTTAACATACTCGTTTTTCTGTGTACGTTATTGTACGGATTTGGCCTATCCTAGTCACACACAGATCTATTCACTCAAAATGGTCTCTTTGCGTGTAATAACTATACCTAATTTCAATACTTATAATAAATATAAAATATAAGTTGTTCGTTATAATATTATATAATATGGCTTTTACTTGTTCCATGGGTCCAAATGTACAATCGGAACGCATCGCTGGCCGCGAACGCACGTAGTTCATGCAGTGTTGCGATTCCTCTTTAAAAACTTTATCTTCATCCGGTATCGATATGGGCTTACAAGACTCTATGTTTTTTTTCAGAACATATTGAATACTGCTTTCTTCATGACAACATTTCACAGTCAAGTTCGTATTGCCTATATGAATTTAATATACGCCCACTTGCATTAGTTACGATCAATCATTATATACATATCTACGGTTATGAATATAATGTGCTTACCCAAGGTGGAAACCACCGTCTGTGATAGATCATGGCCTATGAAAATCGTCCAGTACGCCATCATCATCGTTTTTGCTGGATCAGTCAAGTTTTCGTCTTTGACAAGATTTATGCTCAGTGATCTAGGATTGGGCAATTTTTCTGACATATTGTAAATACCTGTATGAACGATTAATGAAATCATAGCATTAGATCCACAAGATTGTAAATTATAATACGTCGTATATAATTAACAAAAAGCTCGTGCAAGAAGGAGGAGTGTTATGAATATCTTAATGTTTTAATAATAAAAAGTGTGCAGATATAATATGTTACGTGCGATGTGTGATATTAAAGAAAAAATATTACCATCAGTATAGTTTGGAAACAGTAAACGTTTATATGGCGATGTGGCCTTTCCCAAAGAGGTACGATTCAAGTGGTTACAAGAACCGTCAGGACTCCGGTAATCTAAGTTTTTCCTAATGCACGAAGTTTTGTCATAATACTCAGACAAACACATATCACTCAAAGTTGTCCTGGTTAGTTTCACCTTCGTTAAGTCTTTGGCACATTCTATATCACTTAACCCATGCCTGAAATAATGATTTAATGTATGCATGTTATTCTAGTAAAAAATATTTTTTTTTATTGAAATATTTATAATATGCTTTACTTTAAACAATATGTATTCTTTAGATTGCGTGTTACTCCAAGAATTATTTCAGCTCTCCTAGATTCTGAAAAACTATCTTTGGATGGTTGAGAATCAATCAGTTGTCCATGGTTTGGACTTCCAAGTGTCCAACCACTGACATCCAATAGTATATTCTCCAAATCATATTTTTTTTCAAGTCCATTGACAGCATTTTGAATTTCTTCGTTTACATCAAAGATTCTGAGATTGGAGTACCAGTTTGTTGAGTTTATCTCCAATTCTATACAATAAAGGTGAACGCTATTTAGTCATTACAAAAAACTTGTTTTAAAAATATCAAAACTAATTTTGTATAATAATTTATACCTAGTTCACACAAATCACGAATTTGAGGATCTTGAGACTTACAAGGATCTTTTGATCCTGTCCAACATAATGGTACGAATACCAAGGTACAAATAAACAGTGGTACAATTTTCGGTATAATACGCATTCTGCCAATTATAAACTGTAATCACAATACAAAATATATAGTTATTAACTGCAACAGTAACTTTATTTATTCAACTATTTTAGATTTGTAATATTGATTGCATTAAAACCAATATATCAAAAATATCAGCAGGTACAATTTGTTAAAAGTAATCTATCAATACATTATGCGTGTGTGTGCGTGTGTGCGTGTGTGTGTGTGTGTGCGTGTGTGTGTGTGTGTGTGTGTGTGTGCGCGCGAGCGCGCGTGTGTGTGTGTACGTGCGTGTGTGTGTGCGCGTGTGTGTGCGTGTGCGCGTGTGTGTGCGTGTGCGTGCGCATGTGGGTGTGCGCGCGCGCGCGTGTGTGTGTGCAACAAATAAAATAAAAATATATACCTAATTAGTGATGACATCTAACGTACCTAGTAATAATTAAGTAATACTTTTAATGTTAAGCCCAAGAAACCGACAGTTGTAATGAATGAGTAGACATTAACAATAAGGGCTTAGAAGTCAAACCTAAGAATAGATTTCCATCCTCCATCCCTCGACCATAAAAGGAATCACAAGTTATGTTTAATTTAGCTATACACAAAGGTTAATCATACTAGTATCTCACAATTTATCACCCATCATACAAAATAATAAACTCACTCGTGAATAAGTAAATTTAGTACTGAGAAGGAAAACAATTTTATTATTTAAGTTATTTAAACCTGACGAACGACGAGTGTCGTTATAACATAGGTATAACTTATAAGTAAGTACCAACCTATTTTTATGTAAATAAACATATAGTACTTACCGAAAACTTATAAATAATTAACAGATTCTTTGCCAGCTATCTTGCAATTGAATTTTGATTGATCGTAGCGTTAAACACTGAAATTACTTATCCAATGGTTGTGAAAATGTAACCTCTCACGTCTACGTGTTATTGTCCCATGGTGGAGAAACGTACTATGTGTGCCTTTTTAGTAGATCAGCCGGACTTCTGTCTGGTGTGGTGGTATCACGCGGAACTACGGTCATCTATAGAATGATTTCAATGCTCAAGGAGATAGTCACTACTACCAGGGCATCGGATGAACGAAAATCCTATTGGTTGAACTGCACTCCCTCCCACCCTACTCCCTGATTGTCCTTCTGACCACCCACCCACCCACCAACCGGCCTAACAATCACACATGCATATATAACACGATATATATTGTATATAGTACTATATACAATTAATACACGGAGCACCTTATAGTATTATCTTATAATATATTTAATATTTGTCTTAAGGACTTTTCTGGTTGTTTCTTTTTTTATAGTTCTAAAATAAATTGATTAATTTACAGACAATTATTTTTCGTTTTTAATGTCACAAATGTATTTTTAAAGGCTGTTGAAGGCATCAATAACCGAATCTTAATTACTAGTATAAAACGACTAAAGGAATATTAAATTATTGAAAATCCAGAAATTATGTGTAGAACAACACTTGTGTTATTGAGTAGCATGTAATAAAATACTTTTAGATTTCTTAATGGAGTGATAAATTTATTGATTTCTAATTTTTTTTTTGTCTTTAAACACTTTTTATAGTAGAAAAATGATTTAATTATAAGTTTCTGAAGTTAGAATTTAGAAAAAATTTGCCACAATCGTGAAAAAGTTCAATTATTTTGTATTTACTCATAAGTTTTTAATTTAAAAAAAATTACCGGAAAATGACATCAATTTTTAATGACCCTTAAATATTTTCTAACTGTTATCATTGTTAACACATTTTTGCGGCTTTAATAAAAATTTCGTTGTTTTGAATATGATGTAATTGTTATCTTAATTTAAGGACTAGATTGTATTATGCTTTCAAGTTTTTATTGACAAATAAAAAATGTACAGTACATACATTGAAAAAACTAAATAAAAATGTCACTGAATGTCTGATTAGCACAAAAAGATGTTTTAGGTAGAAAATATTTTGAAGTTTATATTGTGTCCATAGTAAATTCTAAAATACGTAGATTTTCGTCGAAATCTAGTTTTTTCGAAGCTTTTCGGGTTTTTGTTTTTGCCCATTATTTTGAAATGTTTACTTTTGGCTTGCCATTGTACCAACTATATCTGATTTGCTACCAGAAAAAACATTGAAAATTAAATATTGACACAATAATAAGTAATAACACAGTTTTTTTAATAATTTATTTAAATTAATTCTAAGTTCAAATTTGGACTTAATCACATATTAAAACCAAGAATAACGATTCTAGCTATTTTGTTGTAATTTAAAAACATTAACTGTGCAAGTTACTTGAAACTTTTAGAGCAGGTATATTATTAAACTGTATGCACACAATGACATTTTAAAATTCAATATTTTTGACAATAGTGAATCTAACCTACTGTAGTAGGTACTAATGGATAATATTAAATATATTACTTGAGTCACAATAATATCATAAAATACCTCTTAGAATCGTTTTTCGTATAGAATTATTTTATATCACTAAATTCAAATTTAACTCGTCGTTAAAGTGAATCTCTAGGTATCTAAAGTATACTCGTCACCCACTTATCAGCTTTTTTTCTTTATTTGTGTTTGTCGTAGTATTTTGGAGCACTAAAATTAATTCAGTTTACTTTTTCAGCATATTTTGTAAAAATAAATTTAATCTAGTTGTTAATTTGGTAGCTGTATTTTTCAAAAGCGTCAAGAGAAACTAACAAAACTTATAGAGAACATTATATTGTGTACACACAATAACATTTTCAAATGTTATTTTTTTGGCAAAAATGAATTTAACCTACTGTAGTACTAATGCCTAATAGTAAAATAAATTAATATTTAATCACAATAATATCATTCATTTTACTTCGTAATATTATAGGCTCTCAGATGGTCTTACTCGGAATCGTTTTTCGTATTTAATAAATGATTATTTAATTCAAATTTAACAAATCCATTACAGTGACTTTCTTGAATAAGTAGACGCCTAATGTATAGCAGCTATCGTTACCATCTTACCTCCTTTTTTTAAATTTAACTCTTTATCCAAATTTATATTCTTATATTTTAAATACTAAGAATTTTAAAATGTTAATTATATAGATGTAACAAAATAATTTAAATGAAATATTCGTAATCAATTTTACTATTTTGTGAAACCAGAGGACACGAATACGAGCTAAATGCGAGTGTATAGGAAATTAACTTCTTTATGGTTTCTTACAATTTAGCTATACGACTAGAGATTAGAGTACCAGCCTAGTTTTTTTCATTCGAACAAAATCTCAATACAGAATATCAACACTACACTATATCAAATTGATAATCATAATGAATAATTTATTTTCTAATGTTTTTTTTTCTTAACTAAGAGAAAATATCCGATTTCAAGTTATTGTATTCACCACTGGTGACGTCTTAGTATAAAAAAAAAAAAATATTATTCCCTAGGAATTCGTCAGAACGTGTTTACAGGGGCGTACTCAGGAATTTTCAATGGGGGGGGTTGAACATTTTGTTTTTTATTACGGGGACTTTGTCACCTCCTTTTTAAAAATATTAAATATAAACATGGTAATGTACTCTACAGAAAATAAATTTCAAAAATGAAAAATGTTTATTTAAAGAACAAAATTAAGTTTTCTTGGTTTTTTAGCCAATTCATTTATAACTTCGTCGGCGGTAAGTGACACTTCTTTGTGTACTGCCAACATCGTCAAACCATTCAGACGAGTCTGAAAGAAGAAATATTTTTAAATTATAACAAGCTGTCCTTTAATCTTAAAATAAATATGGGAAGAAATACCTCTGTCATTGTGCTACGCTGATAACTTTTTAACCTTTTTAAACATGAGAATGTACGCTCTGGTGTTGCTGTCGATACTGGTAGAGTACATAAGATAAGCAGCAAACGATGAATATTTGGAAATAACTCCTGCTTGCACAGCCTCAATGCTTCCAAACTATTTTTTGGATCTTCTTCATTTTTTTTTAATATAGCACGCCACAAATGTAGTTCTGATAAAACAGTTTGTTCATTAGTATCAAGATAAAACTGTATGATTTCTCCAAAGTCATCAGAATATGAACCAGTAAACAAACTATGAAATCCTATAAAACGAATATTAATTAAATTGTATGTTATAAATGAAAATTAAATAACTAACCTTTAAATATATTTTTATGACACAAAAATCTCTCATTTAGTTGTTGAACAAACGAGTCAATGTACGGTATAGCTATCGTTACACGATAATATTCTTCAGGATCGTTGATATCAGGATTGGCACGATTTATACATCGTTTATTCAACCGTTTCATCGATATGCTGATATCTAATACATCGGCCATTTTCTAAAATAACAAGTGCATGTAATAGTTAATAAGTAACACATTTGTTTTTGATCTTTACCTCAGCTTCTCTAAATAACTTTTTGAACTCTTCACCTATATTTTCACGTACATTTTGCAAAGTAGTAATGCTGGCTTCACTACACGGTGTTTACGTATTTCCAAAGTACTGTATAAAGTATGTGTTTGTGGGCCCGTATCTACGGTGCTTTCAAATTGGAATTTAACCTTGGGTTCTGAGCGATGCGGTAACCAGTTATTTTCTCCGTCATTTTTGTCGCGGGGCGTACGACTCTTAAATTATGGTCGGAAATCGAGAAGACACAACCAGTTTTACGGTGCCGAGTACGTATTATGTAAATAATTTATAGTGCACGTGCAGCTGCATCGAACGCATAGATGACCAGAATAATAAACATGTTGACCTAGGGATAACGAGGAATAGATTTCTCGGTCCAAACTCGAAAATAAAACGTTCAAATCATTGTCGTACATTTTGATGAAGATTATGATAATAAAAATAATATAATAACTTTGCTCCCCGTGTGAAGATTTATTCGACAGGGAAGTGGGATAAAAAAAAGTACTAACCTGCAGGTAATTTATTTACCTACGCATAGGGAAAATATCCATCTATAATTAATTTTATGATAATGTAACAAGACCGAAGTTTCCCACGATAAAAACACTTAATGTATGATGTGTTAGAAACATATTTATAATAACAATTATATACTTCATACAGGTATCAATATAATAGGTACCTTACTACCTTACCAGACGTACCCGTTACATATTGCATTAAATAATTAAAAAACAAAAAATTTTATCATTGTTTTTCTTTGCTCACGGATCTCGTACCTACCTTTTAATATAGGTACTATAATTAGGGCCAGATTTAAGTGCCCTAAAAAGTAAAAACTATTAAAAACAATAAACAATTCCCTAAAACTTCCTATTCGACATAATAATAGCATTAAAAAATTACATTTTTTCAATGTACCTACATATTTTTTTTAGCTGTTACGCAAGGGATAGAAAAATGAATAATTTACTTTCGGCACTCGTAACGCCTTTTTATCATAACTTAACTAACAATTAAACAAAAACGAAAACTTAGGTTTGCAAAATAAATAAACAGTATATAATATTATAGAATTGTTGGTCAGCTTGTCTGTATAATTGTGTAGGAAAATTGCCTTCTCATTTTTATATTTTTTGTAATATTACCTATATTGTACCAAACGACCTAAATTGTCGCAATTCTGAATTTTTTTTACTACATATCACTCCAAAATTCCAATACTTTTACTTTAATATTAGTGTTGTGTCTGTCTAAATGTGCTAGGTGTGGAAAAGTAAGAGGTCGACGATCATTAATTGTAATTAATAATTATTATTATTTGTAATGCATTAATTTAATCAAAATCATTGAGTGATCATTATTATTAGATTATTTTGAGCCTTCGCCTTGGAATAATAATATTATTGTCATTTTACATTTTTTAATTGTATACGTACTGCTTATAATTATTTTATTTTTATTGTGTTAAGTATACTGATATTTGGGCTATTCATTCTTAATTCTTTTATATTATTGTAGCGGATCACATATGTGTAACACCATTACATATAGTGCAAACTAGGAAACATAA